AGGCTGGAGAGGACTGAGGAACTATATCGGCAAGAGCTGATTAACCTAAATAAGAAGTTCTTCAGTCCTCTTAGGAGCACTAAGAAAACCATAAGCTAAGGCTTATCTATGAAAAACAGGAAATGGAAATGGACCCCATTTCTTCGGATGAGGTAAATACTGAAGGCAGATAGTCGATCGACGGATCTGTGTTCAGTCCTGCTCATCGCAAATAGGATTGCGGAGGGATTGATGGAGGCTGTCATAAGATCACTGCACTACCTGCAACATCAACGATGATATTTAATTCTCTATATGCATTTCTGAGCGGGTTGCTATACGAATCCGGAAAAACTGTCACATTAAGTGTTCCAGAGAGGGACATTTCGACTTAAACTGCATCTCTGGGAACATACGTCTAGCGGCATCTTCTCCGCGTACACACTTCCGATAGATATGCCGGAGGAGTTATTGGTGAAGAGAAGGTCAACAGTTATCCTTTTCATGGATCAACCACTGAAGTGTGTGCCAATTAAAAATTGCAGCCATCAAAGTTGCAGCCGATGAACTACTCTGCTGCTCTCTCATTGGGGTAGATATTATTGCCTCTCCTCTCTCAGGAGGCGATTTTCAATTAACTTAGAGCGTGCGGTTATGTTCAAAATTCTCACGATATTGTTCTTGGTACGAGTGAATGTAATAAACTGTGAATTGCGTTGATACAATCATGCATACAGTGTCTTACAAAAGTATGCGGAAATTATATAATATATTTTTAGAAAAAGAAAACCGAAAATATTTGTGATTTGAAAAAATTTATTTTCGAAACTTTGTTTTAAATAAAGCTTGAATTCTGACTTAAAATTAAACACAAAACTTGTTTTGAACATAATTATGAATTTGAACTACCTTAAGTACTCGACAAACCAGTATTACAAAAGTATTCGGAAATTTTGTTTCCATCACGCCTTGCAAAAGTCAGATTATATGTATTAGCTGGCCTTCTAGATTTTAAATTGTGTCAAATATAGGAAGATAATCAAAAGAAACTACATTCGAAGAGGGAAAAGTAATACTCTTCGAAAGAAAGGAAAACTATGCATTCAAGATAAAACTGTACGTAGAACGTTTGGAACTACATGATTGTGGCAACTAAGTTTAGAGAAAACAAGTAAGGAAGGGCGAAGTTCGAGTGCAGTCGAACATTATATACTCTTACAACCTGCAAAAATCAAAGCCAGGGAAATTCCTGAAGGTGGAAAACATCAACTAGAGGATCGGAATTCTCATACACTTACCGACATATTTGACATAAAAGGTTTGTTAGAAAGACGAAAAGCATTATACATATGTAAGAAATGGGAGTTGGCAGGTTAATTACAATTTATATATACAATGTTTTAATCAATATTATTATGACATAAATTGCCACGATTTTTCGGTTTACTTTCCTTTCACATTAAAACTTAATTTTTGAGTTTCGATAAAAGTAAAAACTATAGTACAGTTATTAAACAATATATTTTAATAATAATAATGAATCTTTCTTCTATCAATTTCTTTTTTGAAATTAATATTCCGAATACTTTTGTGACGCACTGTATATAAATAAATAATTGTTTTGAATTTGATATGCGTTTCCTTTTCGAAATTTTATAAGAGATTCTTAGTAATATTTGCGCGCGTATTAGCAATATTTGTGATATAAATACACACTTGACCGAGCATTAGCTTTCACAGTTGTGTACTCTACTGTCGCAGCAGTACACGGTAGTCGGAAAGCCGCTTAAGCAAACGTGTTAATCAGTATTAAATATAAATTGTATTACAAACAATGTGGAAAGTTAAATTCTTCTTAATAATATTGCTTTGCTTTGTGAACTGCATACGAGCTGATGATGATGGAGGTAAAATAATATTGCCGATAAAAAGGGATGCCAAAAATATTAAGAAATGAAAAATGTGAAATTAGAAACTTGCTGAAAATAATCATTGCTTCCGTAAAAATTATTACATTTTACAGCATGAGCTCATGTTGTAGTGCATGCAGTTAAAGAATAGGTGCCGAAAATGTGTGAGCGTGGTTATGAATCGTTTATGTCCATAACAAGTGGTCATCGGCCGTGCGTTTTTGAGCATAAATTTCGGAATATTTGTCAGGTTATGGATAATGTATTTTTTACTTTTTATTTTATTTTGTGTATGTGTGACACATCAAGACACACACAACTGGCGCCGAGAAAAAATGTCGCAAATAACTCCATCAACGTGTCTGGGAGCGATTCCTCAGTTCGGTGTTGCAAATTATGCTTTATTGCTTACTAGGATTATGTTTTGAAGATGATTTTGGGCAAGTGACGCCTGCCTCGAATAAACTTCAGCCGAGAGCCCTAACTTTTTATCACTTCTCGCAGTAATTAGAACCGCAAGTCAGCAAAAAGTATCCGAATATTCTAATATTTGCTTACAAGGCGTCAATCTGCGATGACAAACGACTTCTTATAACCCCACAATAATGGACCAGCGGTGTTAAGTCGTACAATCTTGGAAGACACGCCACAGGCCCATGACGGGGCTCAGCTAAAGTTGACATCAATTAATTGATTGTTGTGTTATGCGCAAAAAATGATTTCTTCAATAGAAATCGTAAGAGATTTTATAATATTTTTTCAAGTAGTTGGAAGTGCGACTGACATTTTTCCAACTGATAAGAAGAAAAATAGAAAACTATTGAGCGGAGGATCTACCCGCTGCAATTGCGATCACACTTGGAGCTGTTTTCTGGGAGGTGTCTAATAATCCACTTTTAAGAGTACCAAGCGAAAAGATAATCGATTTTTTACGTACCCTATTGTATATAAAATGTAAGCCAAGTATATATAAAAAGTATTCCGCCTGCGAAGTGAACACATTACAATACATAGCTAGTTAAATACCATACAGTCGTAGAAACATACGTTCGTTCTCACAGACGCGAAACGGCGGATCAGTAATTTCTTTCACTCTTTTACTACATACATATGTACATATACTTGTGTGCTCAGCTCAGTAGATACTGGGGACTGTGGTTGTGGTTCTCAGTATAAGATTGCTTTCCTTTTAAATCGGTTGTAAGCAAATGATATCGAGTTTAAGGAACTTTATCAAGAAAGCATGGATAATATGATACGAGACTCTTTGATTCGAGAGAGAGCTGTCAAAACTCGCATTTTTTATAATATTTGCCAATGATGCCACTGCTGAATAATATTTATTTTGCCAAAATATGTTCGCACAGTTCAATGAAATTTCATTTCACACTAATTTTGTCCGGTAATTATAGCGGTTTACTTCTGGCTTCCCGCCTTTTCTGAAATAAACTGCCAGAATTCCCTGATCTCCATCGCTGTCAAATAATCAGGGAACGCGTTTGAGAGAAAAAGAGCGCCAATGCTAAAGTCTCGTATCATATTATCCATGAAGAAAGCTTGTATCTGCCGGTCTTAAATTTATATCTCTCTTATACTAAAATTATATGTATAAAGTTATAATTGAAAAACTAAAAAACATACTTTTAAAGCACTTCAAACTAAATAGTGAAAAATAATTCTTAATATGAATTTGCTTTGAATTTTCTTCGCTCTCATAAAATTGAACGATCTTCTCTTCGATAGATTGGTCCTGAAATTTAGGCCCAACTTTTTTCGTTGTCCTTAAAGATGCATCGACGTAATTCTCATTTTGTATTTGTTTTGCTGTTTTTAGTTGCCACTTTGTTGATCCCTCAAATTCTTGGCGTATTTTACTGTACGACCAATCACTTGGTAAAAGATTGATCAAAAGTTGGGCTTTTCGAAATCTGTAAGCATAGTTGTCGATGGAAACATGTTTGGTATATAAAATGATACGAAAAACTCAAATAAGACAGAGAACAATGATTTTATTGCTAAAAAATTTGATTTTACATGTATGTTTCTGATTGAAAAGCCGTTCTAATATTCTGAATAATTGCACAATATTCCTGTATTATAATGTCCGCTTTCGAAGTAGGAACAACATTAAAATCGTTTTCGAATTTCTTTTTTTTTACCATTTCTTGCATTTCATCAAGCTTATTTGATGTGTAAGAAGTTCTTTGTAATCTGTAATTATCAATGTATGGATTACAAAGTATTTTCTGTAGAAATCAATCGGAGTTATGAATTTGTATAGTTTCGAACGTAGGTATACATACTTTTTTTTTTTTTTTGGACTGGCGAAACTCCCAAAATTGTATCTATTGAGTCATCGATTACGAAATTTCCATGTGTTGAACCCTCACTACTCGGTTGGTTCGAAGTATATTGATTTTGAGATTGTTCTGTTGTTTGTGATTTAATTAAAAAGGATTATACTTTTTGACTTCTTTGCGACATTCTGTGCACAGTAAAGAATACTCATCAGCATTGCTAAATTTCCATAAATAGCCGTTCGGAAATGGACGTAAATCACTGCCTAATTTTAAATATAAAAAAACGCCTTTCATTGTTATTTCTTAAGTTAAGTTTCGGAATACATCTAACTAAACGATACTTACAGAAGGCTGGCTTTGTGAACGGAGTAGAAAAAATTTTCTTTTTGCTATGTACATTCATGTTCCCAATCCAAGTGTCAAACAAATTTAACAATACTTCAAATAATACAGATGCAATTATGCGATCGAATATAATAAGTAATGCTGATATCCATTTACATAACCGGCAAAGTGTTGCATATAAAATAGCAAACAGTAACAAATCTTCAACACTTGCACAATGCACGAATAAAATAATTATATTTTTATGAATGCGAATACTGATTTCTTCATTAATTAATTTCTAAGAATACGATTTGGGGACGTTCGGGCAAGCAAATAACTGCAGCAATATTGTGGCAGTGTTGTTTTACTGCAGATACTCAGCTGATACTTATATTGCAACATTTTTGCATCGAATATGATGCCTTGAGATACTGCCGCAGTGATTGACACACGAACATCCCCTTTATTTGCCTGCTGCACAAAACCTTCTAAGCGAACAGATTGTGCCGTATAGCGACAACTTTGCATGTTTTTTATTGCTAATGGGATCAGAATCTCATATTTTTGAACACTGATTCTTATGTAAAATTGAACCCAGAATCGAATGGAAAAGTCAATTTGAAAAAAAAAGTGGTGGAAAAACACAAATAACTGAGACTTTCTTACATAAAATTGTATAACTTCAAAATTTTTTACACTAAATTTTCTGGTGGTTAAAAAATAAAAGAAATAGTATTTTTTTTGTGTGATCGAAATTTGAATTTCGCGAAAAAAACAGTGGAGCAATGATATGATATTCTAGATATAGTTTGGTCAAAATCGGTGAACCACGGGTACAAAACCATGTCGCCACTTAATGGAAAGGCCCATATAAAGATTTCAAAATTATTTTATTATTTATTTTATTTTATT